TAAAGTACAGCTATACCTTGGGAAATAAAAATATATATCACCTATATAGAAAACAAAAAATATTAAGGTTTAATATTTCATATATTGAGTTGTTCAAAAGCAAAGAGTTTACTGAGCTTTAGATAACAGTTGAGAAATTGAACTTTGAGTAGATATGATTAGTTTTGTCTTAATTTTGCAGTCAGGTTTTGCTATATATAGTCATGCTTACTTGTTAACTTTGATATCTATGAATGATGCTGTATTAATTTATCTTTTCTGAAAAGTTTGATAATGCAAAACTCTTGTTTAAATGTTACAGCATTTGTTGATACTATAAAAATTTGCATGTTGCCCTCTAATTTGAGACATCAGATGGAAAACAAATCTTCAAAAACTATGACGGATTATTGTATGTTCCTTCCCTAAACACAAAGAATAAATTTGGGAAAATCTAGGAGAATTGGTAAAAGATTGAAAAACATAATTCATTCTGAGAAAAATAAGATTGGGAGATTGTGGTCATGAATTACAAAAGTCTTTTAAAATAATATAAAATATATTATAGTCACATTACTATATAATGTATTATTAAATTATATCATTAAAACCTAAACTAAAATGATTAGAGTATACTACATAAGAATGAATTGATAATAATGGGTTTTATATCATTAATTTCTATTTGAGATGTCTTGATTTCACAAGGATCAAGGATCTATTTCCTGACTATTTCAACATGCCGAAAAAAATATATTTTCTTTGTTAAAAATAATACATAAACTGAAGTATTCTTATGGATTTTCCATCATCCAAGTATTCAACAGTTCTCTGAATTTGTTATTTGAAATTATTAATGCTGATTTTTCTGTCCTACTGCCACTCTAGAGATGAAGAGTAAGTTAGATATTTGACATGGGGACTAGAGCTGTGACTCACTTTGGTTTTCCCTGTCATTGTGACTGAGATAAATATTTTGAAATTCCATGCCTTTCCTTCTCCCTAACATTGAGCTATTTAGCTTTAACACTACCATTTTTATGTAACTGTCAGCTAACACATCAGGCAACCTGATACACCCCTCATCCTCTTTTATTTTCTAGTTTTGTATTATATATATATATATATATATATATATATATATATATATATGAAAACTTATTGTATATTTTATCTTTTTATCTGTGCCTCTGCCCTTTTCCATTCCCCCTTCCCACCTTCTAGTTTTTCATTTTGTTCATATTCCCAACAGGGATGATATTCAAATCATGAATATATATTCAAAAATCACATCTTCTCCGATTGCAGAAAACACATGCAAGAGTAAATTAAGCATGTTAGAATTGTACAGAAAAGAATTTACATTTATCAAAAGGTTTCTCTTTCAATAGTCCTCACTGATACACCTCTACTGGCTGTATTAATATTTTTAAAAGCATAAACCTATGACCTGAAAATACAAAAAGGTAACCCAAATCAAAATATGATAATATACATTAGTGAAGGTTTTTCAGAACACTTATTTGTAAGAATAAATCCTCTTTTAAAATTTACTCAAAGTACCTACATCAACAATTAAGAAATCCAGCCAACACCAGGCATTGGTGAAATACGTTTTATAACCATATGCAATCCATTTTAGAAGCATTTCCAGGATGAAGATGTAAGTGAATATCTTGTCAGCATAATCCAGGATAACCTTAATAGTCTTTTTATTTTCAATATATATATCTTCTAAAGCCTGTGGAAATAATATTCAAATTTTAATTTATGTACAACTTAAAAGGTTACGTTCATAACAAAAACAGGAAATGAAATTCTGATGGATAAACCACTGACATAGAATACTACTAGGGGCCAGCTGACTGTCTTCTGATTTACAGCTACTGTGTAACACTTAGCTCTAGAATTCTCAACAGTGCATGCCAGTTGGTTACCAGAGGTCAAGAGAACATGGGTACAAAAGAATGAAATTGACCAGACCTCTGATACTTAAGAGATTTCTACTTCATTTGACTCTCCCTGTTCATCCCTATTCAAATTGGCAAGACCTGATCATTTCAGACACGATTCCAGGATCAGCCCCTGATATATCCTTCTTGCCCTGCACTCTCCTTCGCACCCACCGGCAGGATATGGACCCTTCCTTCAGCTCTTACACGCTGTGCATTGTGCATCCCCCGCCTACCACTGAGTCAAGACCACAGCAGGAGGCAAGGAAAGGTTTGGCTCGAGGAACAAGTGCAGTATCTTAGAAGGGCTACAGAACACACAGGATGGCTTCTTTCTTTGAATTTTGTACAATATTTTATCATTCATTACAAAGCTTGAGCTCTACAAATCACTCTTATAGTCATTCCATGAATGTGGCACCTTTTAATGCTCTCCAAGAATTTTTGGTAAGTGAGAGAAGGTGATACTGTGGTATCAGCCACAAGTTCCTTGGGAAATAATTTGAACGGACTTAAAGAATTGAGCTTACCGGAGACACTGAAAATGATTGCCGACCTAAACAGGTCTAACGTATTAGAATTTTCTCTTTCAAGTTTAAACAATATTCACCATGTTGGAGAAGACGAAAGCAAAAGGCCTGCATCCTTAGTGGTTAACAGTAAGTATACTTCTATCCCGAGTCATGACCACGTTCCATTCTTATTCTTCCTATTCTAAGTTCTTCTATCAATACTTTAAAAATGATCCTTAGCACTTTTTGAATGTTGAAGAGAACAGGGAAGTTGAGACAGAATAAGCAGGTTTACTAAGATGCTAAAAGAAGGTTCCAGCAGCTGGCAGAGGTTCTGAACATCAATGAAACTGAAATGCAAGGGGAGACTTCCAGCCCTCCATCTTTTCCTGCTTCCCTTTTCTGACTTGTAGAGGAATCAGGAAAGCTTCCCAAACAGAAACTATGGCAGTGCCTCAGGCCTTGAAATGCAAAGATAAGGAAAGGGCTTGATCACAAGGAAGAAGACTGCTGTTCCTGGAACTAAGACGGGCGCAGAGCAGGACCAGTAGTAAGTCTTGCTGCTGAGAGCCAAACACCCCTCCAGATGCCTCTTGCTCTGACTAGTCCCAGAACCTAAAATTGGATTCAGCCTGCAGGGCTTCTATCTGGCTTCTAGGACTAACTTTGTGGATGTGGGAGCAGAGAGGCAAGGAGGTCATCATATGAGCTCTACCTGATTTGGGCATACGCTTCACTGTTACTTATTTCAGTGACCACTCATTCATTTCTGATTGGCAAGCACTCCCGTTTTCTGAGGAGCCATAACACAGCGAAAAGATTTGGCTTTGATTTAGACCTCAGTTAGCTTATGGCTCTGTCATTTACTAGCTTTGGGATGGTAAGCAGCTTTTAAAACTCTATACCTAGTTCCTTCATTGGTAAAATAAGCAAAATACCATAATCTCACAGGGTTGTTTGAAAATTAAAGGAGAAAACCTATATAAAGATCTTGAAATAGAATGAATATGTACTAAAATTAGAGCTATTGCTTTTTATTTATTTTGTAGACAGGTATTTTAAAATCTAACTCAACTAGCTAACTCCCTAAGTAAAAACTTCTTGAAATACTACTCCCTTTTCTTCCTTATGATTCATTTGAATTCAGTTTTGAGAGCACCCCTTCCCAAAAATGTCATCTTTGTTTTTAGACATTTTAAACAAGGGCTTACTCTAAACTTTTCTTTAATTTTTTTTGTATAATCTACTGTTTGAAAATCTCAGTCACATGTGACTCAGCATGGGATAAACTTCCTTACTTATTAGAAATACAAGCCAATGTAGACACTGTCAAGATTCCTGCTTGTATTCTACAGGATTAGATGAGTGACACTTTCCTTACTCATCTTCTGTTTTTCAGAGAGGAGACTTGTTAGAAGAGGCGATCTCCTGGGGGCCCTGAGTGTCCCTGTGGGTATGCCAAGAATGCAAGGCCCTGGCTGCTTTTTATCCAGGCCATTTCTCAGGCTTGTTTTTGCAACAAGCAACCATGAGAGATGAGATGGCGTCTCCCCGTGGGACAAAGAACAAGGCTGCTTACTTCTTGCTGTAAGAGGATGGGTTCCCTAAGCTCAGTGCTGCTCAGCTCTGATGCTAAACCACTGTGTGCACAATGTTCATTTAACTCCATGCTATGATCCCCTGTGACTTGGGGACAAGGGGAACCGACACAAACATCTTGAAGATCATGCTTCTTTCTAAGCCACAAATAATGAAGTCCTGTATCTCTGACTCTAAATGTCTCATATCTTCCACCAGCATACATGAAACAGTAACAGGTTAATTTATTGTAAGTAGAATAAACTCAAATCCCAAATCCATGAAAACTGTCTATGAGGTAATTTATAGAGTTGTTGAGTATTGTGTTTTTAGTATAATGGAATTTCCAGTGGTATCTCTAGGTGGAACTGGGCTTCTGATGGCTCATCTCTGTTAGTGTCAGCAGGAGAGAAAAGCACATCAGAAATGGCTCAGGGAGCTTGTAACTCTCCCAGGTCCCTTTCAACTCTCACATAAGGTGACAGGTATAAGTACAAGAATGAGAAACTTGCCCCATTCTCACCCTAAAACCACAATCTATTTTTCCTTATAATAAGATACAATATGCTCATAAGCTGACACTGCTGTCACAGTATCTCCGGCCATCACTTTTCTCCCTGTATTTGTTCTTCCTCCCACAACACTTCCTTCATTTGGCAACTTTTAATTTCCTGTATATCTGATGCTGTTTCATGCTTCCTTTCCATTGTACACTTGTGCCCCTCAGCCCACCTTGCCTGGCTGGAAAATTAGTATTCATCTTTCTGGATCTTGCAAACCATCATCTACCTTTCTGAAATCCAAAGCAGACAATTGTTCTTGCTACAGAGCTTTAGCAAGTATATTCTTCACTTACAAAACACACCCCAGTTCTGGAATCACTTGTGCCTCTCTCTTCCTCAATGCTCTCTGGGCTCCTGGAGAAAAATACCTGGATCTTATCCATCTCTGCATTCAGGGCAGCAAGAATAATGTCTGGCATGCAATAGTGCTCAGTTACTATTTACAGAGCTAAACTAAGAATCTATCCTTGGTACTAATCACAGGGAATACTATTAGATAAAACAACTTGCCAAGACACTTTTATCTTCCAACTCATTTATTAAAAGTACTGACAATCAATATATTGCTTTAGGTGTCAGATCACTTACCAGAGCACCACTGCTGAGCAGGATCATGAGAACAATAAAGCTTTCAAACCAATTGTGCTCAACTATCCTGTAGCAGGTTTTCCTGATGTTCCACCAGATTCTTCCCTTCCCTGACTCTATATTAACTTGGCAACACGGGAACCTCCGTACACAACCTGGCAAGAAAGACATGCAGGTCAAATCTTGATATTCAGAATTTATAAAATGTTTAAAATACACTATTGAATACAAAGCTTTCCCCACAACAGTCCCTTAACCATATAATTTCTAACACCTACACCTGCAACTTCAAATAAATTAAACTTGGGTGCCACCTTCTCTTGTCTCCTAATTCTCCATGGTTTTTTCTTAATACTTGTCAGTTATTTCTAACTTACA